AAACCAAATTTCATAAAAAGAATGAAGAGGCAATATGCAAGGACTGCGTGTGCACTTTCGCGCAGAGTACATCCTAACAAATGGCCACGCGTCTATTGATTCCCGCAGAGCATTTGGAAAGCCCAGTACTTCGACGTAAAAAAACAACAGACGAGCAGGCCTTAGATTGTAGCCAATGATTGAGCAATCACTGGCTACAATCAAGGCAGGGGTCGGCAACCTTTTGCTGCGGCGGGCCAAATTGCCGCAGAACGGAAGTGGAACGGACCGGACGGAGAAACGGAGAGGAGGGGGGGGGGGGGGGGGGGGATTTAGCTCATAATAATGAAAGATAAAAATCGCCACATAATCAAAGTGATATGCAAAGATATTATCTTGATTCAGGTACGCGTAAAGTAAGATTTTGAGAGTTCAATGTTGCTTGCCAAAGTGCCAACATTTACATTATACCTATCAATTCAAAGTCGTAAAACATTTTGGAGGCGCTCTTCTGTCATTCGCAAGACCTACGTTTGATTTCATAGTCTTCATCTTGAAAAAATATGTTCGTAGATATATACATGCTGCAACAATCTCTTCGATCAAGACCGCTGCGAGATGCCATAGATTTGAGCGTCGTTCGCTGCAAACAATTAATTCTTCAGTTCATTGTATGTTTGGAAATCAGCTCATCAGCAAACTGTATTTCCCAAATCTCTTGAACTTGTTGAGAGTTAATACGTCAGATTATACCAGGCTTGCAACCATACATACCTCCCGTCCTGAAGTGTGTGATTAGGAGGGGGAGGGGGGGGAGGGGGAGGGGGAAGGTCAATTTTTGGTGGCATTCCGGGCGCCATATATTCTTGCCTCGCGGGTTTCCAATTGCCGACCTCTCATCGTGCTCGATAGCACTATCTACGAAATGAGTCAAGCAAATTGATTTTTAGCACTGACACCCTATAAACAAGTTCGAGGGGGGAAGGGCGGGGAAAAGGGGAGGGGAGTGGGGAGTCGTCCTAGTGTCGTAAAATCAGCCAAGCAAATATTAATGCGAAGAAAAATATTGTAAAAAAAAAGTCATCATGCGTTGAAATTTGAGCCCGTGAAATATCAGGCTCAATGTAGCTGCCAGGCCGACAATATGTTTAGACTTAAACAAATTAAAGCCTGCGATAGAAGTTGACTCTCCGAATGCTCTACGCGGATATTTTGGAGTGCGTGCTTTGCAGAAACGTTATCGCTCAAACCTTGCTTACAGAGGGAACGCAAAAGTCTCTCTCTCCTCACCTACCCGAGGCCAAGATGCAAATTTTGGGTTCTATATACTTTTTATGCGGTCACGAATGAGCGGCGGAACATATTTGGAGAGTTTCTTTGCTTTATCGCCGATTGCGCATGCCTATACAACACCTCGTATTGTTTTTTTTTTCCGCATATGAATGTTTGCTAGGGGGTGTTGTCCTTGTGCAAATAGCACACATATGAACGAGTAGATTCAGCGGTTTAGTTGTGACCGATCTAAACGTTCACAGCCGATTGTTGCCAAAACATGAAACTGTGAGCGTCGTAGAGAAGCTTCGAAGTAGTCGCCATCACCGAATACTGCTTTACCGACAGGTACACTGTCAGAAGTCCCCGAAATAATATATATATATATATATATATATATATATATATATATATATATATATATATATATATATATATATATATATATATATATATATATTATATATATATATATATATATATATATATATATATATATATATATATATACAACGGGGCATGGTGGCGGTGAGGCCGAAGGCGTGGGTAAATAACTGAGAAGAAAAAACCCTTAGTGAAAACAGCAACAACGGACGATTTAATCTTCGACGTTTCGGCCGGAGTCCGGCCGGAGTCCGGCCTTCGTCAGGAAGGCCGGACTCCGGCCGAAACGTCGAAGATTAAATCGTCCGTTGTTGCTGTTTTCACTAAAGGTTTTTTCTTCTCAGTATATATATATATATATATATATATATACTTTTTTATTTTTTTTTACGCAGTTTAGGTAATGGTAAAGGAAATGGGTACCGCGCTGGTGAAAGATAGGAGCTGCTTAATGGCGAGTACTTCTGAAAAGAGTGTAATTCTGAAGGTGTATTTCTGAGTGCGTGCTTGTTTGGGCAGGGCATGATGGAAAGCTGGCCGCTCGTGGTCACCACTAGGTGCCTTCATGTGCGCTTTGCTTAGAGTAATGTCATCCTTTGTAGTACCCAATGCCGACAGCACGCGCGCTCGAGAAAAATTCAAAGAAATCAAAATGCCGCCGTAGCACTGCCAATGCCACGAGCTCGTGTCGGGAAACCAAGGCACCTAAGCAAAGCGCACATAAAGACACCATAGTCGCCACATGCGTTCCAGCTCGCCGGGGCGCAAAGAGAATGGACCGATCTCACAGCCAGTTTAATTACGCCTCCGCTGCCGCTATACACCCTGGGATCTGAAGTCTTTCAGCACGCGAGACAACCCCGCTGACGGTCTGCGCGAGCAGAGCACGAGGTAGCACAAGCTGTCTAGTGCACTGGCGCCTGCCTCTCATGAACTGCAGTTATGGCGGCGTCACGCATGCGTTAAACGCTTAGGGAGATCGGTCTATTGAGCGAAAACATTCGTGTCCGGAATCTGAACGTGAATGATAATGCTCACCTTGGAACACGACGCCCAGCAGTTTGATGATGTTGTCGTGCTGGAAACTGGACATGATTTGTACCTCCCTCTCGAAGTCAGCCTGCGCTTCGCTGGCCACCGACTCCTTCAGGACCTTGACGGCCACGTTCTCCTTTTCTCCGTTTGGCAAAGTGTAGACGGCTGTCAAAGGGAGGGCATCGGTGACGGACTGCACGTTACTGGGAACTACTGTCGCAGTCAAACTTCACTGGAACGCTTGAACGAGCGGTTTTTTTCCCCGCCGGGCGGCAGCCGATACTATCAATAGACATTTTGCGAAATCCCCCAAGCGCCTCGGCCCGAGCGCGAGGAATTATGGGAGAGACTGTCCCTCGGCTGGCCGCTCTGCCTTGAGATCGCATTTCCCTGTAACTCGTCTCCTCTTAATCCTCTGTTTTTCGATTCTATTACCTATTTTTATCTATTCCAGTGTATTTTTTATTGCTCCTAAGTGTTTCTATTTCCTTCAGCGCGCGATATTTTTTGTATATATATAGTATTTGTGTCTTTATTTTGCCTTTTTCGACGGGAGTGCCGACGGACCACAGGCCGCTTCGCGCGTCGTTCCCCGGGTGAGTACTACCGTTGCTACCGATTCCTGTCGCGCTGTTAGCTGTTCATTGGGGAACTGTAGTAGACCGTTTCTTTAGCCCTCTAAGCACCCGGATAGCGCTCCGTAATCCGCCACAAGACGTTGAACTATGCAGATAAGGCTGGCGGCGCGCATGCGCAGCTGCGGCGTTTTCTTCAGGGATACCGTAGCGGAGGAGAAAAACGATCTACTACAATTCTCTATTTTGGTTCATTTGACTCCTCGTGCAGTCGAGAGGAGCCGTTTGCGAACACCCGCTCACATGCATCAGGGGCAGGCAGAGCTCTGAATTAACAATCGCGACGCAATAGCCGAGTGCGCTGTGATTTGGCCGCCCGCGCTCGCTCCGTTGACTCGCAGCGTATGCCTTTGAGTGCCGCTTACTTGGCCAAAATACAGAACGCCACTTTGTCGCCGTGAACCATTTGTCCGAATGTTTGCCAAGCTGAGGCATATGAAACGCTGCGGCGCCTGACAACTGCAAGCTGCGGCGCGATCCCTTCGCAAACGCCGACGGCTCAATGTCGCGGCTTGAATGCGCCTATGGCATGCCTTCGTAATCTGTCTGCTAAGTGGTTGTCTGTTGCAAACACCCTTTTTCAAGAGCAGAGATGTCCTGTCCCCCAGGCAGTGATCTTGAAACTTGTAGTTCCTTTGATAATTTTATTTCTCTCGTCAAGATGGTCAGCTCAAGGTATTTTATTTCTTTAGGTCACCTTCAGCAGCAACATGCCCGGTGGTACAGTTTGCTGTGTGCCAGGCTGTGCAAACAATACTGCCAGCGCGCAGCATGTTTCCTGGCACCGCTTTCCAGAAGACAGCGTCCTGCGAAGCGTTTAGATGAAGACAACTGCGTGCAGTTGTCAGGCGCCGCAGCGTTGTATATGCCGAACGGTGTTACGGTTTCGCAGGCATTCAGACAAATGATTCGCGACGGCAAAGCGGCCTTCTGCATCTTAGTCAAGTAATCGGCACTCGAAGGCACACGCTACAGTGTGAGTCAACGAAGCGAGCGCGGGCGGCTAAATCGCACCGCACTCGGCCACTCGGCTCTCGCGTCCCAATTGTTGATTCAGAGCTCTGCCTACCCCTATGACATGTGCGCGGGTGTTCATAAACGGCTCCTTTCGACTGCACGGGGGTCAAATGAACCGAAATGAACAGCTAACTGCGCAGCAAAGGTAGTACTCACCCGGGGAACGACGCGCGAAGCGGCGTGTGGTCCGTCGGCACTCCCGTCGAAAAGGCCAAATAAAGACAAATACTATATATATATATATGTATATATATCAGTGTGTCGAACCGAAAAAAGTACGGGTTCGGTTACTGTTCAGGTTCAGGTAAATTTATTTTGTTCCGGTTCAGTTCCGGTTCGATTTATTTGATCCGCGAACCGGTTCGCGAACCGGTTCGGAAATTATAAATGACTAGTTGCAACATCAAAATAAATTACAAATAAAACATCTGAAATCAGCACATACGAAACGGGATACATCGTAGAGTAAGGCTCAGGGATTTCTACCAGGAATGGTTTCTTTATGTGCACTCAAAGGTTACCTCACCGACGTTTACGCATTCGGACTTCATCTAATTGGGTCCGACGCAGTAGCTGTAAAATCCGCGACCTCCTTACAAACCCACTTACAAGCAGAACACGCTAACTATCCCGCCACCTCGGCGTGTAAGCAATTGAAGGAACAGTGGGGAGAAAATACAGCTTTCTTTATTTCAACTAGCCTTCGGTAACTCAAATTAGACCCTTAAAGAAGTTTTCCTTAACAAGATACGGAATATGAAAAACACTTCACCGAACGCAACGCCAGAAGGACGTAATAGTATAAATATTAAAATAGAAGATTTCGCTGTGTCACAAATATGTTAGCTTCTAAGTGCCTATACGAAACCGGATGCATTATTATCAAACTCCACAGCTTTTTCTTTTCTCATTCCGATGGAAGCAAGCTTCAAGAACTCGCGCGTTCTAGAAACGTGTTATGAAATGAGCACACAGCAGCATTTAGGATTTACGAGATTGTAGGAAAATAAAATCCCGTGACGCGATTTTTTATTTTTTTTTTCACAGCCTTTCAATTTTTTTTCTTCCGTGCAAGCCGCGACCAGCGCAATACTGGTTCCTATGTCAAGATTCATGGATGCAGCGTTTATATTCCTAAGACTGTGTGGAGAAGAAAAATATGTAAGCGAGGTGTGTGTCAGTTGACGGCACTTAAAAAACAAATGGCATTGATAGCACATTCATTGTCAACAGCGCGTGGCCGAACCGTTTTGACATGAGCCGGTAACCGTTATTTTTTTCCGGTTCAGTTCCGGTTCGGGTTCATCGCGATAACAATATAACGGTTCGAGTTCGGGTTCAGTTCCGGAAAAAATACCGGTTCGGTTCCGGTTTTCGGTTCGGTTCGGTTCCGGTTCGACACCCTGATATATATATATATATATATGCAAGAAATATCGCGCGCAGAGAAGAATAGAAACACTTGGAAGCAATAAAAAATACACTGCAATAGATAACAATAGGTAATGGAACCGAAAAAGAGAGGATTAAGAGGAGGCAAGCGACAAGGCAATGCGATCTCAAGGCAGAGCTGCCAGGCAAGGGACACTCTCTCCCACAATTCCTCACGCGCGGGCCGGGGCGCTTGGGAAAATTGCAAATCGTCTATTGGTCACGTGGCGGCGGGCCCATTTTAGAGGGCGGAGGGGGGGGGGGGGGAGGAGAGGGGGCGGAAGGAGCACGGTAGATTCCAAGCTCGTGTGTGTATCGCATCAAGTAAGTGTAGCGTGTCTGTAATATAAAGTGTATAGAGATGCAATGTTGAGCGTGCGAGCGATGCAAATATTTTTGATACGTTTGCATTGGGCTATAGCTAGCGCCATTTAGTTTCTTGACCTAAGTGGCAACTTGATTTTTTCGCGGCAGTTGGTATCCGTTTCTGAATCAATGCGGCGGTTTGTACTAGGTCTTGCGGATGAGGCTAATACCTGTTACTAACTTCCATGGTTAGTAACTGTTACGAAAACACCGTTACTAACTGCAGTTACTAAGAGGCTTGTATCATACATTGATCAGCCAGAACCTTATTACCACCCAATACCGCGTAAATTCACCTTTGGCACGCAAAGCAGTTGCAAGGGCCGTCTGCTGTGGAGTCCCATATCATACAAAGTCCGATAAATTATGTGTTCAGAAACACTTGAACCTTCGCCTGCATAGTATCTGGCGCTACAGAACCCAGGATGCTGGGTTCAATCCCCGCCTCTGCCCTTTTCGATCTGGAAGAGCATCGTACCGGCGTGCGGTCGTGTATCACTACTGCGTGGTGCACGTTAAAGACACCAGACAAGCGGTTGTACTGCACTGGCTAAATTTCGCATCTACAGCTGGGACATTTGTCGCCCGTTGATGCAGGCCAAGTTCTAGGCTGTATCAACATACAAACAACCCAATTTTTTTTTTATCTGGCTGTCAGTTGAGCCAAAGGTACGCTGCCTGTTTTACCTCAAACTAGCGGGAACGCCCCTGGCGTCCACATTTTGTGACGAGGGGTGGACATGAAACACCTCGGCGTCTGCTAACCGTTTCCCTGTCGTTCTTCCACTTTTGACAGGCACTAACGACGGCAGCTCACGAACACTTGACGAGCTTTGCCGTTTCCGAGATACTTGGTCCGAGCCGCCGGGCCATCACGATCTGCCCCTCGTCGAACTCGTTTGAATCGGCAGCTTTTTTCCAATACATGCACTCGTAATGGGCGAAAAAATCCTTCTGCATGCATCTAATAACGCAGATGGCGCGTCAGCTGGACGCGCTCATTCACACAATATAAAGGTGGTCATAATGTTTTGGCTGATCAGCCTATGTGGCAAACAGTTACTAACCTAAAGACATTAAATGGCTCCTGAAAAGTAAAAAAAGTTTCTTTTTTAAACAGTCTGATTTGGACACGCGCATCAAAAAAAAAGTTTTATGCGAAAAAAAAAAATTGTTACAGCAGTTCTGACCGTGAGAGATTTATTTGAAATTCTGCACGCAAAGTACATGACGCCACGGAATGGTCATTCGCTCTTTCCGCCTCAACGTAAAGGCGAAGCCGATCCACCCCTCCTCCACCCGCCCAAAATGCCGAGAGAAAACAAGTGGAAAGGAGGTGACTATCGACTAAATGGCGTCCCGCGCCGTCAATATTGCTTTAATTTTTTTTTTTTTGTAGAATTTATTTTTTTACGCGTGTCCCAATCACACTGTTGGAAATAAGTTTTTGTTTTTTTCTTTTCAAAAGCCCTTTAAGTACTACGACCTTTTTTCAAGAGTGTAACTGAAATAAAAGAGGTCGATATCAGACATCTAAACTAGAAAATTTTGTGCTAATATACGATTTTGGTGTGAAAATAAAATGCCAGTCTGTCTTGTTTCAATTACGAAAGCGGCCCATGCCTCCCCCCCTTTTTACTAAATAAGAAATACAAACAAAAACGTGTAAGGTCGTCACTAATTTCCAAGAGGTTTCGCGTCAGTCGGGCCAGGAAG